GAGAGAGAGAGAGAGAGAGAGAGAGAGAGAGAGAGAGAGAGAGAGAGAGAATGAATTGCTGAAATGTGGTATATGGTCCCCGCACCCAAGGTAAGTTAACAAGATAATATTTCTTAAATGCAAACCAGATTTGTTACTTGGATTTGATATTATCTTGAGTCTTCAAACCTCGCTGGCTTTTTCTTCACCACTTCCACCAATCAGTGTGTTGCTGGTAAGTAGCTTATGCTACCCTTGCCAGCACCGGTGCATTACAGCCTTTCTCTGTGAGCTGTACCTATGGGAGCTTTCTTTCAACCATAATCTCTCCATACTTACGCCCTGCACATGCCCTCCTGCATTTCAGTACCTCTTCTGTGTTTCCAGTACCTATTTTTTGGTTTCTGTGAATGCTTATCACAGTGTCTCATTGTCGGCAGCAGTAAGCTTGCTGCCTTAATTTTAAATGCCCTTTTTTGTCCTGTCCCAGTTAAGTTGTTTGTGTGAAAAATGTGCAGTTGGGTTCCGGAGGGTGCTGGGGTTCAGTTCCCCTGTGGTTTTTCCTGTTTGGAAAACAGTGTCAGGCTTGCCTACAGATACAGAGTAAACCATTCCTTGACCCCTGCTGTTAGAGGGGTATATAAGCCCATGTTGGTACAAATAAAGAGAGCTGCTTCCCTGAGGAACTGAAACTGGGTGTCTAGAGTGCTGTTTAACCTCGGCGTCCCTTGCCAGATTTCGTGCTCCAGCTGCGCGGGCTGCAGCATCTCATGATTATATTTTGGTTAGCAGGCTTTCCTATCAGACCGAGCTTACAAAGAGGGGGAGAATCATGTGACTATATGCGCTGTGGTTAGACAGTGGGTCACATAAATAGCTGCTTCCTAAATGTCTGAATGAATGAATGAGCAGGTGACAGCCTGGGCACAGAATCTTATTCTAGGTGATATAGCCATTTTTGTTATTAACATTTTTGTTTTGTAGTGGAAATGTTAATAGTAAAATGGAAAAATAGAATTTTTGGAGTACTGTAAAATGTAAAACAAGAAATACTCTTGTTATTGTCTATTTTTGTTTAGTGCTGTTTCCTTGTAAATTTTATGCACTATTTAAATACTGAGGTAAGTGCTGTTGAGCCTTAATTTTTAAACTATCCATAATTCTGATGTGGGTGGTTCATGTGTAGGAGCACCTTGAACAAATACATGTGGTTTTTCTGGGAGTTTTAAACAGTACTGGCATGTGCTTATGATGTATGTCGCATGCTACATTAGTGTTAGTGGCCTGTCCTTGACTGGATGAATGAAGTTGGAGGTGGATATAGTGGTTGTGATTTAGAAGGCTTCAAGTGAATATTTTAAATGGGTGCATGAGGTTGGAGTAAATTTAGATGAAAGTTAAATCTTAATGGAAGGGATGTTCAGAAGGAAAATGCAGGTAGGGTTTTTGGTTTTTGTTTTGTGTTTTGAGACAAGGTTTTTCTGTGTAGCATTGGAACCTGTCCTGGAACTCGATCTGTAGACCAGGCTGGCCTTGAACTCACAGAGATCCGCCTGGCTCTGCCTTCTGAGTGCTGGGATTAAAGGTGTGCGCCACCACTGCCTGGCTGTGCAGGTAGTTTTAAATGACAGTGAGTAAACCTGTTGGAGCTCAACTTCCAAAAGGCTTTGAAGCTGATGAAACAGTGAGACCAGATTTTAGAAGACCAGAAAGGGGTTGGAACTCAACTCTGTACCTCTAAAAGCAGGTGTTTAGAGTATCCAGTACAATATGGGGGAAACATCAGAATTAGAACATCAGTGTCTGCTTCCTATCTTAAACAAACTGAGTCAGACTTGGTGGTTCAAGACTTTAATCCCAGCACTCCAGAGGCAGAGGCAAAAGCTGGGCATGGTGGCACCTGCCTTTAATCTCAGCACTCAGAGGCAGGTGAATCTCTGTGAGTTCAAGGCCAGCCTGGTCTACAGAGTGAGTTTTAGGACAGCTAGGGCTCCACAGTGACCCCTGTTTAGAAACAAACAAGATTCTCTAAATTTATTTATGTAATAGTTAATACAACATCATTTCAGCCAACTGTTAAGTATCCCAGGTCTGGGGGGAACAGACAAGGGGGACTTGCTTCTACCTTTCGAATATTGTAACATATTATAGTTTACTTATTGGGGGGTGTAATAATTTGTATAATGAAGGGAAAGACTATAAAAATGTTCGCTCTCACAGAAATACCTTGACTTTATTAAGGCAAAGTTCTTGAAGACCCTAACTATAAATTAAGTATTTCTGAAACTGGTAAACTTTTCTCTAGTTAAGAATATTAACTAAGATGCTTTCTTTAACTTTTAAAAGAAAATAATGCATATAATCTGCTCCAAGTCCCTTTCCCCTGTTGCTTATTTGATTTTGAGACAGCACCTCTAACCCTGGCTAGTCTGAAATTTTCCATATAGACAGTACTGGCGTCGAACTCCTGGAGAGCTGTCTGCCTCTGCTTCTGGAGCACTGGGACTAAAGGTGCAGCACCATGGTCAACTTTTCCAAGTCCATTTTAATGACAAGTGAGGAAATTGCTTTAAAAATTGGGCTGTTCAGAGATTCTTTTGAAAATATATGTTTGGAAATGTTTTTACTATTTAAAAACTCATACTGAACATGCTGTTTATAATAATGATGGATTTTGTCTGTGTGAAAATACTTGGAAAGAGCATGATCTGTCTTCTTTTTAACTTAGATATTATATCAGTTAGTTGTAGGAATCAGAGTAGATAGAACATTCCAAAACATACTTCAGAAATAACTTTGGAAAACCTGGTGGATATGACCAAAAAGTAAATATAGCTAAATGAATATTGCCAGCTGTAGACATCTTCTCTTTGGATCTGCTTATTTATGTGAATACAGACCTCACTTTGTCCAACACCATATTAACTGAACCAGTGAGAGGTTCACAGTGACTGCAATCACATGTATCACCACAGAAAAATGTGCCAGCATGCGCTTGGTTATAGTATGTTAGCATCCCATTAACACGGCACTGTCCAGAGGTGAGTACTACATAAGTGCGTTTGTATACCATTAACATGGCACTGTGTAGAAATCAGTGAATCTTTGTCCATTAAAACCAGATGTTGAAACACACATTTGGGGGCCTTTAATTTTTCTCTCAGGAAGCTTAATTGGAAATAAAATTTTAGTGAAAACAAAGCATCTTTAATAATGCTTATATCAAATATACCGGCTCAAGGACCATGTTACAATGAGACAAATCCAAAGGATTGACAACTGCTGGGCGAGCCTGTAGACATTTTTAGTTGTGGGAATGGCATGTGCTTGACTAATCTGGTAACAGTTTTGCTGCCGAATCAAGTAGGGGTGATAGCTTGTAGTCTGGGTATAAGGTGTTAAGGGCCAGCACTAAGTTAGTAGATGTTCGGGAAAGGGAAGAAGAATGGCTTTCAGAGAGGATGAGTGTTTGAGTTTGGGGGTTGGGGACTGTGGAAGGTGGAATTTGGGAATAACCAAGCTTTGCACTTTATTGCATGTTGGTGTGATAGCAGGGTGAAGTCGAAGGGAAAATGTGTTTCCTGTTACACATTGAATTTGGTTAGCCACAGGCTTAGAATGAGACAATTTGTTTGGCAGACTAGTTAAGAACATGCTTACAGGCAGGTTACTTAGCATCTGTGTGCCTCAGTTTCACCAACTATAGAGTGGAAGATAGCAGTAGAGCATAATGGTGCTGTGCAGATTATGTGAGTTAAGATTCGGTATTTGGAATAGTGTCTGGGACTCAGTGAGCTCTTACTTCAGTGCTTTCCATGTAAGTAAACAGATGTAGGAAGTGCTCAATCACTAGTCGCTGTGTGGTGTAGTTAAAAGTCAGAACCTGTGTGTGTCAGTGCAGTGTTAGTATCCTGGAGCAGCTAGCACAAGCAGTGTAGTTGAGCATAGTTCATCAGAGTACTCGGCTTTGCTCCAGACACTGTGCTAAGCATAGGCATCCAAACGAACAGTGTGTTGGAACCCCCTCCCCATGAAGGTCACAACCCAGTTGAATATGGTAGGATGTATAGAAGGAAAGCTGTGTATGTGTTTATAGTCTATGTATGTATGTATATATTGCTATGTATGTATATATATATAGTCTACTTGTACAAGACTATGTATACCATGATTTCCCCGTAATTTTAAAAAGGTTTGTAGGTAACAGGTGTACTTTTGTATCTTTCAGAGTGCTAGACAGAAGACAGTATCCCCAATTAAAGACCTTCTGAGCAACAGATTACATGGTTAGCTGGGGCTTTTCACAGGAAATAGTAAATGTGAATTATTTTAAGAGAGATTATTCTTATTCCAGTTCCAAGAAACTATGATCCTACCTTACATCCTTTTGAAGTCCCACGAGAATATGTAAGAGCTTTAAATGCTACCAAATTGGAACGAGTGTTTGCAAAACCATTCCTCGCTTCCCTGGATGGTCACCGTGATGGAGTCAATTGCCTGGCAAAGCATCCAAAGAGCCTGACTACCGTCCTTTCTGGGGCATGTGATGGAGAGGCAAGTTCCACTTTGAATCTGCTGTTTTAAATGAGCACATTCTCTAACAACCTCTTTACTTTGGCTACTCTTGTTTGACTTCAGTTTAATTCATGAGCCTAAACTCTGAAATAATATTTAGTAGTTTTTTCTAATCTTAAAATGGTATCAATTCAGTGGTGTAAGGTTCAGTTTGGCAGTACATAAACTTATATTTCTAATAAAGGTATTTGAATTTTTCACAGAAGTTGTTAATGATGATTGACACTTCATTTTCCATTCTGGAAATGGAAAAAAGACTTTGAAATGCTTTAGAGTCAACAGAGGATTTGGCAGTTTGAATATTTTGCTTGTTGATACATTTATCCACATGCAGTACATTATTTTAATCCAAAGGAGTAGAGTGATTCATAGCCTTTTCAGTGTGGGGTTTCTGAAATATTTCACATTTAGAGTTCACTGAAATTTCTGATGTTTTATTATAGGTTAAAATTTGGAACCTGACTAAACGAAAATGTGTCCGAACAATACAAGCCCATGAAGGTTTTGTAAGAGGGATATGCACTCGCTTTTGCGGGACTTCCTTTTTTACTGTAAGTATACTGTTGGCTCAGTCAGGCTTTCCAACGTGCACAGGAGATCGAATTGCTTAAGTTATTTTCAAGTTCATTTATTTGTTCCAAGGACCTTCGGAGCTCATTAGTACAAAAGAGTTTATTAAACCTTGAAAAGTCCTACCTTTCTTTGATCCAGCCTTACCCGTACTTACTATTTTTTGCCTTTTTATAAATAAGTACCATTGAACTGTTATCCTGAACACTGAGAAGTGGAGTTAATGGAACTTAAGGTGAGAATGATCACGTGACTTACTATGGAAAATTTTTAGTGCTAAGATGAATAATTTTTATTTGGTCAGTAAGGGATCACTGAAATATGTGTATGGGGAAGAATAAATTCATGGAATATTTGCTGTTTCAGCCATTTTTGAGTATACAATTTAGTGACATTCAGTATGGTCATATCATTGTGCTACCGTCACCATTATCCACTTTCAGACGTAACTTGCCGTAGTAACACTAGATTCATTAAGTGATAGCTCCTGTGCTCTCCTCTCAGCCCTAGTAACAACTGTTTTCTGTTTTTCTGATTTGACTGTTGTAGATGCTCCCCATAAGTAGAACCATACGATCTTTGTATGCATAATTGCCTAACCTTTACTCACTTAGCATGATGAAGTCAAGGTTATCCGTGATATAGCTTATGCTATAATTTCTTTTCTGAAGTTGTATAATATTAACAGTGATGTATAGATACCACTTTTTTAAACCCATTCACTTGCCAATGAACTTTTAGTTTGTTTCTACCTTTTTGCTATTTTGAGTAGTACGGCTATGAATATTGGTGTATAAATAGTAGTTCACGTTCATTGATGGTTTTCTAACAGGTGAATGACAGATTCCTTGCTGTGCTTTGAGATGATTGCTTTGAAAGCAATGAATGCTCAGCTTGTAGGCAGTTCTCATTGGGTGCATAAAAAAAATAATAGGGGGCCTACCTGGTAAATAAAACCTGTAAAAAATAGTGGTCAGGTTGAGTAATATTTTGGAGGCTTGATGAGCCTGTCAGATGACTGAAAGGTACATGGGAAGACAGCCGTTCCTGCTCTGGAAGAGGAGAAGACAGCAGTTACCGGTGGGTTAGAGGAGGGGAACACTCTACTGAGATGAGCTAGACTCGCTGCAGGTTATCTGAGTGAAGTTACTGTCCTTCTGGACTCAGAAGAAAAGTCAGAACTAACCTTGACATCATCAGTATAGAACTAATGATTGAGATTATAGTATGATGTGGGTATGAGGAAAATGTAAAAATAGAAAGGTGTCACGGAAGTGGCACTTTAGGATGCCTCTACGTGGGAAAACATCGTGGCAGCAGAGCAGATAGACCTGCATGACATAGTGACTTTACCATCTATAGTAGACGGAAGGGGTGGTGAGCTGGAGCTGCTGGCGGCTAGGCTTCTGTTCTTCCGGTGGCTTCCCTCCAGATGTCTGAACTGATAAAGTAATAATATCCCAGCCAGAATATTTGCAGTATGTTTTTCCCTTTTTTATAGAGCTGGAGATTAAACCAAGCATTGTGCATGCTACTCAAGGCTCTCACTAAATTTCATTTTCAACCCTACTATATGATTTTTTGTGTGGTTTGCTTTTTTTTTAAGCATTCAAAATGAATAAAGTCTAAGTGTCCATCGACAAATAAAGAAAAATTGATGTATAGATGTAGTGCAATACTCTTCATAAGGAAAGGGGGAAATCCTGTCTTTTGCAGCATTGTGGATGGATGTTATGCTGGGTGATATAAGCCAGCCACAAAAAACACTACAGAATCTCTTTTTGTTGTTGTTCTTGTTTTCGAGATGAGTTTCTCTGTGTAACAGTCCTAGCTGTCCTGGAACTTTATAGACCAGGCTGGCCTCAAACTCAAAGATGCCTGCCTGCCTCTGCCTCCTGAGTGCTGTGATTAAAGGCGTACTCTACCACAGCCTGGCCAGAATCTCACTTTTAAATAGACTATGGAAGATCAAACATCTTACTCCTAGGTTCCAGTGGCTTTAGAGAGGTAGAGACTGAGAAGATGTTGTTTTAAGAATATAAACTTTCAGATAGGCAGAAAGAGTAAATGCATGTAATATATTAATAGAAATGCACATTTTAAATTAAAACCAGGAATATGGTACATTTTGAACATCTCTAATTAAAAAAAAAAAAATCTGGTCTAGAACACTCAAACCCCCCAGATCTCTGGAGCCGTCAGCTTGATGCCAGAAGTAGGAGACTCATGCCTAAAACCTGCTTCAAATACAAAGTATTACAACGATTGTATGGCATTATCTGCAGGTAATGGGTGTGGGGTTTGGCCTTGAGTCTCCTGTTAGGGACCTGTGTGTAAGTGCTCCAAAGGCTACTAAGTGTTGTGTAGTACCACATACATGGTTGCTTTACATTGTTAACCACAAGCCACATTAGAGTACACATTTCTAGTTTGAGTTTTTACTTCATCTGTCTTGAACATGTCTGCCAGATATCCAAGTCTAATCCACCACACTTTTTGCTTCACTGATTTGGGCTGAGGTAACACCGGTGATGTCATCATGTTTTCAGTATCTCTGTAACTTTAGCACCAGTGAAAAGAAATGATCTTGTAGGATGTTGAGACCTTCTCCAGAGGTCTGTAGTTCATTTTGAAAGCTTCTAAATTAATGGTTTCTGGAGTTTTGTAACTTGAAGAGAAGTGTTTTGTCTAACTTAAGGTTATAAAAATGCCTTCCAGCAAGCATTTTCATCTTTTTTTTCCCCTTTTTCTTTGCATTTGAAACAATCTGTAATTTATTGTATATGGCATCTTATTGGTTCAGACTTGTTTATCTTTGTATGTGTGTGTTCATATGAATTAGCATATGTGTAGCGGCCTCGGTATCATAAAGTATCAACACTAAGAATCTTCCTCAGTAGCTCTGACTGAAGGACTAGTCCTCCTCGCAATCTTACTCTCGGGCTCCTGATTCTGAGCTCTAAGGCTGAAATAACTAGCGAGCTGCCGTGCCCACACAGCATTGACATGGGTTCTAGGCATTGGTCTTGCTTGCAGGGTGATGCTCTAACTGCTGAGCTCTCTCCTCAGCCCCTGCTTTGTGTGAGTGGGTTTTGTTGTTTTTAAGTCAGGGTCTAACAATGTAGCTTTAGCTTGCCTGAAACTAAGTATGTAGACCAAGCTGGCCTCAAGCTCAGGTAGATCCATCTGTCTCTGTCTCCTAAGAGCTGAGATTAAAAAGTGTGTGCTCCCACACTGGCAAAAGAGATTTAAAAGGAAAACTATCTTCTGTGTATGTGTGTGCCTTGAGTATATGCAGGTGGATGATATGCATGCAGGTGAGGCCAGAAGAAGCATCTGATCTCGGAGTAGAGGCAGGTGTGAGCTCTCTGACTCGGGTACTAGAAATCCGCTCCCACCATGCTGGTTTTTGAGATAGGGTAGTGAGCTGTCCTCCGCTCACATCCTCTTGCCTTTACCTTCTGAATACTGGAATTATAGGTGTGTGCCACCATTGCCAGGCTCAAAACTTTCTAAGTGATTAATCTTATATTCTAATACCCATTTTATTACTATACATTTTTCTTCCTGATTTGAAATACCATTCTTATATGACCTAACTTTGATCTATTCTTTGCCTTTTGCTTTATTCATACTGTTTTTGTTTTTGATTTTATATGCTTTATGTACTTGTTACAAATTTTTGTTATGATAAAGTAGTAGAAAATAAATGTGTCAGTAAATGTAAAAATGAAAGAATGGTATGTGTTACTATTTGAAATGAGATACATATAATTTGATAGATGTGCTTACAACTACTGGTCTTTAGTCATTGTAAAATAACTGTCTCCAGGTTGGTGATGACAAAACTGTGAAGCAGTGGAAAATGGATGGACCAGCCTACGGAGAAGAAGAGGAGCCATTGCATACAATATTAGGGAAGGTACACAAATACATTGACTGGTGATTTAGCCTGTTAAAATCCTTTATCTTTGTAATTACCAAAGGAAAAATAATGTAACAGCCGAGAGGGGTTAGTTTTAATAATTGTCCTGCTAAAGCAATGTTTAAAAGCAACATTTTATGTAATTACAATCCTTTGAAGCTTAAGACTATGACCAGCTCTTTGGTACTCACTATACTAGAGTTTGATTTCTCTTTAGCTGGACCAGCCATAATAGACAGTACAGGTCATAGAGAGGATGTAGTGATGTGGTTTTTACTGTAGTAGAGTTTGATTTCTCTTTAGCTGGACCAGCCATAGTACACAGTACAGGTCATAGAGAAGATGTAGTGAAGGATTTCTTACAGAAAGCCATGGGAGAACTGGGTAAGACAAATGTTAGAAGAGCAATGGCTTAGTCTCTGTCTGGTTTATGTCATCGTAGATCTTACACAGAGCTCAAAATTTCCTAAAGAATTCATTAGGATGCAAAGCCATGAGTAGTGTGTGCTTGTATAATCTTACACTTGTGACAGTTGTTCTCTAAGTTACAGCCTAAGTGTGATTGAGAACATTTGGCTTACACATGTTTGTGATGCTGATGACATTCTTACATTAAGCAGACAAAATTCTGAAGCTAAGTTTAATCTTTAAATAGATGCATTTTTAAAGCTGCTGCACATATTAGCATTTCTTTAGGTGCTGCTTCAGGTTTCAACAAGTTCAGAATATTGTTTGTTTGTTTGTTTGTTTGTTTTGTTTTTCGAGACAGGATTTTTCTGTGTAGCTTTGGAGCCTGACCTGGAACTCACTCTGTAGACCAGGCTGGCCTTGAATTTACAGAGATCGCCTGCCTCTGCCTCCCAAGTGCTGGGACTAAAGGTGTGCACCACCAGTGCCGCCAGGCTCAGAATATTCTTAAAGGGAGCTGGGGGTAGGATATGTGTACAAGATGGAAAAAATTTCCAAGTGATAATAAGTTAGTAATTCAAAAAGCAAAATTGACTTCATTTGCATAAAATGTTTTAGCATTTTATGATACTTTTTTTTCTTTTGATTTTTTTTTTTTTTTTTTTTGATACAGGGTTTTTTTTGTGTGTGTTGCTCTGGCTGCCCTAGAACTCCTTCTATAGACCAGGCTGGCCTCAAACTCAGAGATCTTCCTGCCTATTTATTCCTGAGTACTGGGATTGGCGCTACCACCACCACCACCACCACCCAGCACTTTTTTGCCCTTTAATGAAGGGCTTCAAAGAAGTTCCTTTAGATTTACCCAAAAGGGAGATAGCATGATTGGTAAGGTGGCTTTCCCAGAGTAAAGTTTACCTATTATGTTCTGGGTATGCCAACCTGTAACTTCCCCCAAATATAGGAAACTCGGTTGCACAGTTTGTGGTGAAGAGTGGTGGGAGAAGAGGAAAGAAGTTTCTTTGTAACAAGGATTTCTAAAAGAAAAAAAAACCAAACCACTTAAAATATGCTGATTTAAAGAATTAGTGAGGTGACATGTATAACACCCTCTTTGCTTTCAAAGACAGTGTACACTGGCATTGATCATCACTGGAAAGACCCTGCCTTTGCCACATGTGGACAGCAAGTAGACATTTGGGATGAACAGAGAACCAACCCTATATGCTCAATGAACTGGGGATTTGACAGTATAAGCAGTGTTAAATTTAACCCTATTGAGGTAATGTTCTTTTTAAAATATTATTATGTTCTGTTTATTGTTTAACATGAACTTTTAGCTCTGTTTTGGAACCATTTTCTACATTTGAACAGTTTTCAAGCATTTGATAAGTTTTCCAGGTTATATCTGGGTTCTGTGAACTCTCAGCTGGTCGTCAGAGTAGACTCCAAGTAAATACTTGCCTCTTTTAGGTTTTGGTTTTGAAACAGGCCTTGGCTAGCTCCGACGGTCTTGAACTTGTGATCCTTTTGCCTAAGCCTCTCATTAGCTTTCCTTTACATGCTTTCCACACTCGTGTTCCATCAGATTTTACCGTTGTACTTTGAGGAAGAGGTCCCTTTTTCTTAAGCTTCTTGGAGATCATGAGAATGAGCAAAGAACATGCTGTTCTGTATTGTAAGTCATACGGGTGCCTGTGCCTCAGTCATATGCATGACCACTCTTGGACTGCATGGCAATTACAATTATAGGTGCTTTGTGCTCTGCTCTGAAATCTGAGCTTATTCCTAGTTCCTTCCTGGTCTGAGTGCAGATGTGGAGGTAGGCTGTTGTATACTATCTATTTGTATAGGAACTTAGGAAGACAGGCTGGCCTGGAGGCTAATATGGCTGTTGGATTCCAGACCTTTCCCTGATCTTTTCTGAATACATAACAATAAATTACCCTCATCGTCCAGAAGACTCAGTCAAGATGCTTTTTCTTTCAGTGTTAATAGGAAGCTATTATGTTAATTTCTGTAAGGGAAACTCTTGAAATGCAAATCTCATACTTTCTGAGACCCAGCATGGTAAGAGAGGGAGGAAAGGTTAAGCCAAAGTAGCAGAGTATAACAATATTCATGTGATGTACTGGGACATGATGTACTGCAGTACAGTGTGAACTTGGGCTCCACGTATTGCCAAGAGGCAAGCAGACAAGGCTCCCCAGCCGCCAGCATGTGCCTGTGTACACACTTCTGCATGAGGCTTTATACAGGTCTAGCAGGGGCTGCCAGTGTGTCCACTGCCTGTTACAGAATCTTACTAGAACACAAGCAGACCCTCTTGCTATACCGTCTGCAGCTGCTTGTAGACCATAGTGGAAAATTGGAATAATTGCTCTGGGAATCACATGCCCATAAAGCCTAAAGTACTTTCTTTTCTGGCTTTTAATGGAAAGGTTCGCTGATCCCTAGTCTTGATTTCTGTCTGAGCTGTGTGTTCCTGGTGCATCCTGCATCTTACTTCCCCATCTGTCTTCCCCAACTGTCATCATCAACAGTAAACACAGATAGATAGTGATTGCTACTTTTTGAAGGGACAAATGTTTTGCTTTCCTATTTTGATGAACATGTCAGAAGAGCTAATGGCTAATTGTAAAACCATAATTGGTCATGACCTGTTGATCATGGTTTTCAAACTTGCCTATTTAATAGCTCTATTTGTCCACTGCCTTTTTCTAATCTTATGAATTGACTTAGTGATAAAAGCAAATGATGTGCATGTCTCTCCCTCTGTATTAAAGCTAATGGAAAGGGCAGGGCAGATTGCTGTGAACAAATAGAGTAGTTATTTCCTTTATTCATTAATAATTAATTGTCTGTTAAAATATTGAAGCCTAAAATTCTGGTAAAGGCAGAAGTTAATACTGAGGATTGCCACGTTTGCAGTGTGAAAGTTTTAATTCAGTCTAGCTGGAACTTTTTGCTATGTTTAGATCAAAGTCTTATTGCTTCTTGGCCTTTTGGCTAAGGTCAAGTGTAGATCAAAGTCTTTGTTTTAGAAATTGACCATGGTCTTACACAAAGGTAACATAATGAAAAGCCACTAAAGGTTAAGAGGTTAAGGGGCAACTAATAGAGGTCTCAGAAGCAGCAATTGAGACAGGCTTTTGAAAAGAGTGGAATCCAGATCGTGTTTTTAACATTAGTTTGTGATATTTCATTAAACTGTGTGCACACAGTAGGCACTAGCTGGCCATACGGCTATTTAGTAAACAACTCTTTCTTCCTGCTCCATTTGCAATAGGAAGTAACGTTAGGCAGAAGCCAAGAGTGTGGTCTCTAGAACCATGAATCAGGAAGAATAGTGTTGCAGAGAGATGCTGAGGGGTGGAAGTGCTCGCTGTGTGAGCACAAGGACTGGATTGGGATCCCCAGCCCCTGTAAAAGCCGAGCACGGTGGCGTGCCTGTGACCTATGTTAGGACATGGAGACAGGTTCAAAACAGTGAGCTTCAGGGTCAGTGAATGACTGTCTTAGAAAATAAGGTGGGGAGAGGGCCTGAAGAGGTGACTCAGTGGTTAGGAGTACTTGGTGTTCTTGTAGAAGACCTGGATTTGGTGTCCAGCACCCACATGGTGTCTCACAGCCATCTGTAGTTCCAGTTCCAATGAATCCAACACTCTGTTCTGCGTCTACCAGCACCAGGCATGCATGTGGTACTTAGACATACATGGAGGCAAACAGTCGTTCACATTTTAAAAAACGAATCTTCAAAGATGTTTATATGGCTGAGGAGATGGGGAGCTGGCTCAGTAGGTAAGCACACTGCCCACATGCCACCAGTCTGAAGCCTGAGTTCAGTTCCTGGAACCCATATGGCAGAAGGAGAGAACTCACTCCTATAAAGTTGTTTCCTGATGACCACACCCTTGGAGATGATGTGCACGCACTAAATAAATAATGTGGAGAGCAATAGAAGAACACAATTGCCTCTGGCATTCACGGACAGGCAGGTCCACCCCCACACCGCGTAAGTGGAATTAGGCTCTACTAGATGATGGTTGATTTTCACTCATCGGCAAGGGTTATTCTAAGTGCTTTGTGTGTTCAAAAGTGACTTAGCAAGGTGTGGTGGTGCATGCCTGTAATCCAAGAGTCTGGAGACCAAGACGGACGGACGGATGGACGGAAGACACACAACCGTGGTTCAGGAGATACTCAGTGAGTCAAGTGCCTGCTGAGCAGCATGAGGACCTGAGTTTGCATCTCCAGTGTTCATGGAAAAGCCAGGAATACTAGTGCATGTCTGAAACCCCAGTGTTCTGGGGAGCAGAGACAGGCAGGGCCCAGAATTTGCTGACCAGCCTGGCAGCCAAACAGTGATCTTCAGGCCTAGGAAGAGGTCCTGTTACAAAGAGTAAGGTAGAGAACAAGAGGAAGACATCCAACATTGACCTCTGATTTCCACATGCCCCTTTACTCACACATGCATGTAGACAACATGTATACCTAAACATACACACACACACACAAGCACACGAGGGCACGCACGTGTACACACACAGAGAGAGTTGGACAAAGGACAGGGCAAATTTCTGCAGCATTCACAAATAAAAGGAAATGTTACCTTCTAATGAAGCAGAAATTTTGAGTGTTTAGGATATATTGTCATATAGAGCATTTAAATGACTGTCTGATTCATCCAGTTGTAGTAAAAGGTCCATTCTCACATTACAGTGATATTGATATCACTTTTAATGTCAAAAGTCATAAAATCGTTTGCATTTTTGATTCACTAATACCACTCCTGAAATTTTATGTTAAGGGAACAATTCAGAAGAAGAGTTTAAATGTCTGAAAATGTTTACTGAAGTGTTATTTATAGTAGTCAAAAGCAGTAACTAAATCTTACTTTGGAGAGCAGGTAAGTAAAATACATTCTGCTCTAAATAAGACACTGTTATTGCTGGTACCTAAAATACATGCGTGGAGATTTAACCATGAAAATACTTGATTTAGCTGAGATTATGAGTGATTTATTATATCCTCGTAAAATGGAATATATTCAGTGTTATAGTTTGAGGGCTTAACGTAAATATTAAAGATTAATAATTTGTGCTTTGCTCCCAAGGCTGGCTTTTAATTGGTGATTGTTACAATTATTTTCAGACATTTCTCTTGGGAAGTTGTGCTTCTGATAGAAATATAGTACTGTATGATATGCGTCAAGCTACTCCTCTGAAAAAGGTGGGTTTCAGTCTTGTCTTTGTTTTATACAATTGTTAAGGCATTCTGTATATCAAGTGACTGAAAAAATGAAACAGTGTTTCACAGTTATGTTCTTCTTCATAGAGCTGTTCTTTAACCCCAGAATGATGGTCATAACATTCAACTTTCCATTGATTTAGACTCTCTTTCTTTGTGACTTCAATAATGCCAGTACATTTTAGGCATCTAATTAGTACTTGCTAAATTGAAACTTGTAAAATGAAAGGTATTTCATTGCATTGCTTAATATGCACTAATTGGGGGGAGGATTATCATATGACATATCCATTATTTTATTCAAAACAGTTTTAGGATTCATTTATATAACCAACTATTTTAATTACATGCTGATGCCAGTTTGACTCTTTGCTTAGACAAGCACTATCTTGTCAAGGAGAGGTTTTTCATAGTCTTTGCATTCACCATGGTCATTGCAGGACTTAGATATCAAAGCTAATTCATCCTTATGCTGACTTTCAAGAGAAATAATGTTGTACACGGAATGGACCACCATTTCAAGAAGAGTGTGAAGTTGGTATCAAGCATTTGTAGTGTTGTCAGGGCACAAGACGGGCTAGATGTCATTCATGCACCAGGCATGCGTTGGCACAGCTCACGTATAAAATCTTTGTCAGCTGGATGTGGTGGTCCAGGATTGCAGTCCTAGCACTTGCTAGGTGAAGGCAGGAGGATCAGGACTTCGAAGTCATCCTTGAAACACACTGAGTTCCAGGCCAGCTTGGGCTGATGAGACTCTGTCAAAAGAATGTAAAAAAAAAAAAAATTTTTTTGTAATGTGTTGATTCAGATATTAAAAGTAGGGAGAATGAGATTAGTATATTCATTAAAAGTACAAATTTAGCTATTTATTCGTGTGATATGTGAACTTTGCTGTCTGTATTTCTTTTGTAAAATGATGGTATTAACCAGTACCTTGCGGTATATTTATAGAAATGAGATATGATGCTTTTTAGCATTTACCGGAATGCTGACATGAAGGTCTGGTTTACTAAATAGTAGTCTTTGACTAATACACATATCTTCACACATTTTTAGTGGAGTTAGATCAGCTGTAATTTGAAGAAAAAAATTACATTGCATTTATTGGTTGTTTTAAAGTGTAAAACAATGCTTAATTGGATTTGTCACATGTAGATAGTAATAGACACTGCTACTTTATCTTGTTTGCCTTTTCTTTTAATTAATTATTTTCAAGACAGGATCTCACTATGTAGTCCTGGCTGTCTTGGAACTCAGTGTGAGACCTGCCTGCCTCTGCCTCCTAGAGCTAGGATTAAAGGCGTGTGCCACTATGTGCAACTTTATTATTGTTGTTGTTATTTTAATCCACTCGGCTACCTTTCTTTATCTTTGGGAAAGAAGTTGAGAGCTAAGCTTTGTAAATATGGATTTCTTGACTCTCTTCCTCCCCAGACACCAGGACCACTGCGGATGGAACACGGGGAGTTAGCAGTCATCGAAGGGTCTTTCAAACCTTGCTTCCCTTTGGAAACATTTCTTCTGAGCCCTCAGCTCACTGTTAATGTTGTGCCTTTTGTGTTACCATTTGTTGCTTTATTATTTGTATCTTCATTTTGTTGTTGTTGTTGAAATATATGCCTCAATTTCCTAACTAAGAAGTCATTTGAAGGTCAGGGGCTAGGTGTTAGACATTGTTTTGTCTTTTTGTAGTTACCACTCTGTTCTCAGGAAACAATCCTTGATTTCTTTCCTGACTGTTCTGAATTGTGTACTGTGCATATGAAAATATTTTCTTGAATCAGAAAAAAAAAAAGAAAGTAGAAAATGTATTCATTTTGTATATGTTAATTTTGTGGTAATGAGATAAAATGTATGCTTCCTTTCTCAGGTTATCTTGGATATGAGAACAAATACAATCTGTTGGAACCCTATGGAAGCTTTCAATTTTACTGCAGCAAATGAAGATTATAAGTAAGTGTCTCTCTTTTTAGAAACTTACTCCTATCAAAAATGGCTCCATTGCATTGCATTGCCTTGTTAATATAGTATGTTTCCCTTGGTAAGTACATTTTCATAAGCAAGTTTGGAAGCTCTCATTTGTTTTGCTAAAAATAATTTCCCAAATTGTAAAAGAGGTTTTTAGAAAAAATATTTTCTCAGATTTTAAAGTAACTTAGACAAAGAATAGTAGGCTGGCATCTTTGGGTAAATCTTGTTTGTACAGCAGTTTGTGAGCATGACCATGCTTGTTTACTTGGGTGTGTTTACTGGTATGGCTGCATTATGTTGTGATGCCTGTGTTGGATAGTTATGGTAAAGACCTGATGGCTTACTTGACCAAAGAGAAGAAAAAGGATGATCTCTGATGTAGGCCTTTTAAGTAGCGACTGGACCAGCAGGTGTGGTGGTGCATGTCTGTGTTCCAGAGGCCGAGGCAGGGGGATGGAGTTTGAGGCTACCCAGGGTTACATGGTACGTCAAAGCCAGCTTGGGTTGTGTAGGAAGACACTGTTTCAGAACACACAAACATGAGCAGGCAATGCTTGGCCCATACATGCTTTGTTGGAAGCAGTATGTGCTTTACAAGTGTTTGTGACTCCTCAAGAAGCTGACGCTCATGTAGTCTAACTGTTTGCTGTCTTTATTAAAGCCAACAGAAAGTGATAGTTTACTCTGTTAGCTTTAGAGTGCAGATGTTTTCTGTGCCTGTAAAGCTGACATAGCACTGGGAGAGTGATACACAGATTGGGCAGAAGTACTGCTCTAATTGTTACTAGGCCTCCCTAGAATAAATTGCCTTTCGATGACCAGGACGAATTGAGTGAAATCGTCATGGACAGATACGGGGCAGACAATTTCTTAGATATTCAGATACACCAAGTTAGTTAATGTCTCCCTACCCATAACTTGGATTTGCTGTCTTTTTTCTTTCAGTAAATAAAAAACAAGCAAAACTGACAGAGCAGACTTTGAACCAGGAGATTTTATGATTCCTTATGTAATGCTTTACTCTTGTTGAAATATTATACATTGGCTGTCTCATTTCATCTTTTTACGTTAATCTAGCGAAAATTAGATATTAGTCTTGCTATATTTTGATGCATTTTATTATTATTTTTAAGTACATTCTTTTTGTCGGGGGTCGGGGGGGAGGTTTCAAGACAAGGTTTCTCTGTGTAGCCCTGGCTATCCTGGAACTTGCTCTGTAGACCAGGCTGGCCTTGAACTCAAAGATCTGACTGCCTCTGTCTCCTGAGTGCTTGAACCACCACTGCCTGGCTTTAAGTACATTCTTAATACGTACTTTTTGGAAAGGTACAAGCTTGTTGGTGGATTTGAACTTTAGATTGTCTATATTGAAAATCTGCCCATAGGGGCTGGAGAGATGACTCAGCAGTTTAGAGTACTTGTTACTCTTGCAGAGGACCCATGTTCTGTTGCCAGCGCCCACTGGGCAGCTCACATCCACCTGTAAGTCTGGTTCCAGGTGTCTGATGCCCTCTTCTGGCTTCTGGAGGCCCCTGTACATATGTAGTGCACACATAGACAAGGAAGTACACACACAGACACATAAGTAAGAAGGCTGTTTCTCACTGTATCCAGTGTGTGAGAGTGTAAATGGTGTATTAGCTCATATGTGGGACTAGGGGCGCCTAAGTGGCACTGCCTGAAGTTCTCTCTTCGGATTGCTGTACTGAGAACAAGCGCAGTTGAGTCATTAGCAGTACTAACCACATTGAAGTTTACTTTCTGTAATAGATGCTTTGAAATGAAATGGTGCTGTTGCAATTGAAGACAATAAAAGACAAGAGTAATTCAGCAGCATAGTGCCCTCTCTGCTAAGATTTCTAAAGTACATTGTGAACTAGCTGTTTTGCCAAGATAATCTTTTTTCAGAGCCTTCTTGGAATTCCTCATTTCTTGCCTTGGGAAGAATTATATACGGTTCCTAAAACAAGACATAGCTCTTAAAAGAAATGACTACTACTTTTCATAATTGTCCTTATTTTTAAAATCTCTTGGTGAGTATGATGGTGTATGCCTGTAGTCCTAGGACTGGGGAGGCACTAGCAAGAAGGGTGAGGAGTTCAGGGTTATCTGCTGTGGAGAAAATTTGGCTCAGTGGCTCAAGGGCTGCATGAGAGCCTAAGACAGAAGGGTCTGCTGTGGTAGCTCTCTCGTGTGTCTTTGTTCTTCTTTGAATAGTACAGTAAGTCTTCATTACAACTCAGATGCAGATCGAAGGCATTCAGTTGTTGCTGTAGCAGTGGGCAGGCCGTGTAACCCAGCTCAGTGCTGTGGCTGTGCTGTCTGGAGGACAGCCAAGAGTAGATGCCGGCCTCAAGAGTTGTCGTAACTCACAATGGTAGACACGCCTGTCCAGATGGATTGAATTTGCAATTTTTCTTCCTTCACAGATTGTTGATACAATTTGTTTAAAAAGCAGTTTGCTAAAAGAAAAGAAAAGTTGAGACTCACTCTACTAGGCAGGCAATGTGTTGTAGTTGTCAAGTCAGAAGTTAACCTCAGAATCAGTAGACCCAGGCTCCCACACCTAGGGGTTGTTGGAGGCTCTGAAAAGAGCAGTGCTTTGGACTGTTTGTTTTGATCTTCTTTGAGATAGGCTCAGCATGGTCTAGAGCTTGCTCTGTGGTGGTATTGTGTTCCCCAAAATATTGTGTACCCTAATAAACTTATCTGGGGTCAGAGAACAGAAAAGCCACTAGATACTTGATAGGCAGTGGTAGCACACGCCTTTAATCCTAGCATTCCAGAGGCAGAAATCCATGTGTTCAAGGATATAGCCAAGCATGGTGACTCAGCCTTTAATCCCAGAAAGCCAGCCTTTAATCCCAGGGAGTGATGGTAGAAAGCAGAAAGGTACATAAGGCGTGAGGACCAGAAACTAGAAGCATTTGGCTGGTTAAGCTTCAGGCTTTCAAGCAGCAGTTCATCTGAGAGCCATTGGGATGAGGACACAGAAGATTCCAGTCTGAGGAAAACCAGCTGAGAAGTTGGCCAGGTGAGGTTAGCTGTGGCTTGTTCTGGTTCTCTGATCTTCCAGAGTTCACCCCAATAACTGGCCTCAGGTTTGTTTTTATTAATAAGATCATTTAAGATTCCTGCTACACTGCTCCCTAGCTCAGGCTGGCCTGCCTTCAGTTGGTGAGCTCCTGCTTCAGTCTCTTGATTGTGGAGGCTACAGGCATGAAGGCGGAAGTACCCTACCCAGAGTGGTTTGTCTTGTGAGAAGAATATTAGGAATTTTTGTAAGTGTTTGCCTGCATGTATTGTCTTCTATCATTATCTTGGTCTAGACAACTAACAAATTGCCATAGATTGAGTGGTTTAAGCAAAGAGAGTTATTTTATACTAGTTTGGGAATTGCCAACATAATCAGGATCACTGAGGGCCCTCTTCCAGAATGCAGGCAACCAACTCCTGTCCTCACAGGGCAGGCTGCTCTCTGGCCCCTTCCACATTTGTGTGTGTGTGAGAGAGAGAGAGAGAGGGCACACACGTGTGCACATGCACAGCCCATAGTGCACGTGTGGAGGTCAGAGGACACCTCGTGGGAGTTGGTTCTCTCCCACTATGTGGGCTCTGGGGACTGCACTCAGGTCCACTTGTCTTGATGGATACACCCTTACTCAGCCATCTCAGTGGCTCGCTGTTTGATTTTGTGTCATATTACAAAGCAGTAAGAACCGTTGGTGTTTTTCTCTGTGTCTTACCTGCCTTAACTGTTTTCAGAATCAGACTGCTTATTAAGAGAGTCATCATTTAGCTGATGTTCTTGTTTTTTACTAATGTCTTGTAATACTACATGTGGCTTCTTTATAAATTGGAATGAAATATTTGACAATGTCTTACAGCTTATACACTTTTGATATGCGTGCGCTGGACACTCCTGTTATGGTCCACATGGATCACGTCTCTGCGGTACTAGATGTGGACTACTCACCCACTGGGAAAGAATTTGTGTCTGCCAGTTTTGATAAATCTATTAGAATCTTTCCTGTGGACAAAAGCCGAAGCAGGTATGTGACTGCCAGCAAGCCACTTATTTTTGCATGGTATTTCTTTAGTCCTGATAATCATTGATTTTTTCTTAGAAGGCGGGTGGTTGTGTGTATATGATAGGGCTTCCACCCAAGTATTGTGACATGGAGTGTGGACATCTGCTGAGTCATGTGAGGGCAAATCAGGGGCTTTGTTTTATTGACTAGGAGATTATTTCCATATAATTCATAAATTTACTAAAAAATTTAGTTTGATGGTTAAGAACTCAGATTTTTTTTTTTTCTGAAAGTAGTTTTAAAAGCAATGAATAATACTCCCTGGTATTTTTTTTCACACATTCAAATCCAACTTACTCTACCAGGCAAAGATGAGAGGAAGAAACAGTTTAGATTGGTGGGCTCATTCCCTTCCTTTCTAGGCTACTCGGTCCCGTGAAGAGGTCCATACAAGGTAGTTACGAGGCTGATTAAACCAATTAGAAGTTTTGAGACATTTTACTAATGGCCAGACCAGGAGCAGACTTGTGTCTCTGAAACATCTCTTGGTGACCAAGCTCAGAGCTACAGCATTTTAAAAGACAAAATCCCAATTACATCAGTGTGTAGGGAGTGCCATTGGGGGCAGGGGTTATATTACCAAGTAACACCTGCTCTCTTGTGAAGCTCAGTATATTCCAGACACTACGTGACAGTTATTTCTAATTTATTTTAGTTTTATGTTTAAGCTTGCACAAATACCAAATATTTTGTTTAATATGTCTAGACCACGGTTAGGGTCATGGACAAAAAAAAAAGCTGCCAAAGCTGCTGTGGCTGCTGACAGGGATGGAAGGCTAAGAAGCAGAGTCTAGGGAGACATGAAATGTGGTGGGGACAAGATGGCCTTGACTTGGTCATGTCGCCTCTATCTTCTGTTGAACTGAGAGGTAGGAGATGTGAGCGCTCTGTGAGCATGCTTAGTAGGATTCCTGTTTTTAAGATTGGAGTGTTTCCTACAGCTTAACTTGACTACTTGTTTTATGTAATTGAGTGTAGCATTATATATGCAGTTTTTTATGTTGAGGTAATTTATAGAAAAGTGTGGCATTTTCAGAGACTTCAGGGAAATTTTGGACTTTATGTTTTGCTTCGCTGGCTGACTTTGTGATGCTGAGGATTCAGCCTGGGCCCTTGTGAGAGTTCTGTGCCAGTGAGTTCTTCCCTAGATCACTTACTCCGCCTTAAAGCCTGACTCGTGTGCTGTGGTTTACAAAGAACTTGAATGTGCATTCTCACTGTTGTTTAGTAATGCTTAGACATGTGTGTAAGGACACATAAACCAAAGGAAAGTGAAACAAGCCATCCCATCAGAATTAGGACAGCTGAGCTTGGTGGTACTCAGGAGGTAGAAGCAGGAAGAGTGTAGGTTCTAGGATGTTTGGATTTGCTTTCCATTGCTGTGGTGAAACACCATGACCAAAAGCAACTTGGGGAGGAAAGAGTCATTTGATTTATCCATCTTAGTCAGTCTAGCACGAAGGGTGATGGGAACTCAGGCAGGAACCTGGAGGCAAAAAGGAAAGCAGAGGCCATGGAGGAGTGCTGCTTACTGGCTTGCTTCCCAGTGGTTGATCAGCCTGCTTTTTTTTTTTTTTCTAACCACCAGAACCACCTCTCCAGAGATGGCACCACCCACAAGGGGATGGGCCGTCACACATCAGTCATTAATCAAGAAAGTGCCCCACAGATCTGCCTATAGCTTAATCTGATGGAGGCATTTCTCAGTGAGGTTCCCTCTTTCCAGATGACTCTAGCTTGTGTTCATTACCAGCAGATGATTGCGATCCAGGTATGATTTAGTCATGCATACGAATGAGAGTGTCCTGGGGGTTTTCGTTGCCATTGCACACTTCTCCTGTACACTGCTGGTGTTGGCTCCTAAGTGACCTTGGAATACCCCCACATTCTTGCGCAGTTTGCACAATTTCCTACACGATTCTCACACTTGTAACAGTATGAAGAACCAGAAGACTCCATTGGTTGTTTGGCATTTAGCCTTTAAAGGTAGCGGGATTGTGCTAATATGATGTGTAAGCAAAGAATGGATGGAAAGAGTCAGAGAAGTGGAATGGCTGGTACTAGGTGTAGATCAGGAGCCCTCAGGTTCAGGATGAGTTACTTCAAAGCCACGTGGGCTAACTAATGCAGGTCTAGCTAGAAAGTTCAGCTGATGAAGGAATTGTAAACAGGAATTCTTACTGGAGGATTTTGTCCTGGTGTCATGTGAAGCTACAGTCTCAGGAGTGTTACTTCCTGTTGTTTAGATATACATGCTCCTCCTCCTTCTGCTCGAGAGCAGCCCCGGTTCGTTTTCCATGGTCTGTTCTTCCTTTCTGACATTACAGAGCATGTGTCACCAAGCTTAGACAACACTTTGAATGCCTTTATTTGAAAGACTTTAAAGAGGTCGAAGTTCACTCTTTAGCTCTGAGGTTTAGTTTTGTCTTGTATTAAATTAAGAGTTTCTTGTGCCTGGCAGTGGTGGCACATCTTTAATCCCAGCACTTAGGAAGCAGAGGTAGGCAGATCTCTGAGTTCAAGGCCAGCCTGGTCTATGGAGTGAGTTCCAGGACAGGGAAGGCTATACAGAGATACCCTGTCTCAGAAAAAAAGGGAAGAAAAAAAAAATCTTGTATTCCAGGCTGGCCTTAAACTTGCAATGTAGCCAAAGATGATATTAAACTCCCCAGTCCTACCTCCCAAATCCTGGATTACAGGCATGTACCACCATGCCTGGTTTTATGCAGTGCTGGAAAGCAAATATGTGGCTTCATGTATGCCAGACAAGCTATCTCCCCAGCTCACTGAGTAATTCGGGATGGGGTATATAGATCATGCTGGCCCTTAAAGAGGAAATTTATTTTAATAGTTAAAAATATTTGTTTATTTGTTGTGTGTGTGTATATATATATATATATATATATATATATATATATATATATATATATATATGCCTGTGCATCTGCCATGGTGTGCCTGTGGAGGTCATAGAACAGCTGTGGGACTCAGTTCAGTCTTTCCACATGTGGATTCCAGGGACTGAACTCAGTTGTCAGACTGTCAGCAAGCTCTTTTACCCACTGAAACATCTCGATGCTCTCATGTGAGTGAGATTCGATTCAGTCTTTACTAAGCAAACAAATTCAGTAGCATTCACAAGAGAAAATGGGTTTATTTAGACTATTTTAAGTTTTTAAAAATGCCTCCTAACACAACTTTTACTGAACTTAATAATACATCTAGCATATTATAAACAAGAGGTTGAAGCCACATAGTTGACCACTAAAGAGGATTGCGAGTTGCTTCAATGCCTAGCCATAGATTTGACTGATGGACCTGAGCCAGTTATTTGTGATTGTTACTGAAACTTAATTGAAATTCCAGACATAAACTCATGCCACCCCTGAAGAATTTTGTGTGTGTGGCAGGTGGCTTTTAAGAAAGTGGAAATCATAAGAGATCAACATGTTTTTTAAAAAGCTGGGCATTTTAGAAGAAGTCTCTCATCTAAGCTTCGGTTAATAACCATTGTCCTCTTTAAAAATAAATCTCTTGCAGTTTTAGTGTTTAGTATATATCTCAAAAGCAGTGAACAAGGCTAGTGTGTGAGTGCACTTTAGAGATAGTCTGTAAATGTGACTTGTGTCTGATTTGGTTGTCTGTGGTTTTTATTTTACTATGAATAATTTGTTGGACTTGCTTCCTTTTTATCATGCTGCATTTTGACTCATTTTTTCCATATTTGGAATTAAGAAGTCTCATCTTAATCTCTTTGACCTTTGACTTGCTTTGAAATGCCCTTCTTAACACTCCCCAATATAGTATCTCTGTGAATTCACTTAGCGTGTTTCACAGCATTTCCAAATAGGTATGAGTTGACGTCGCCATTTATTAGATGATTCTGACCTCAGCTTATCAGACACTCTCGCAGCCCTCCCTTGTTTTCACACATGGAAATAAACTCTCACTTCAATTAGGCATTTAAAACAGCGTGCCCAAGCAAAAGTCAGAGCTAGGTTCGGTGTGCTAGAGTGTGGTCTTTGGAGACCATTGCATTCATGTTATTTTCCAGTAAAATGTCATTGAGGGCATGGTGGCTGTTGGCCTAAGTTAAATTGGGGATGAGAAAGTATTTACTAAGAATAAGCCATTTCTAGCCAGGCATGGTGGCACACTCACTCCCTTAATCCCAAGCACTCAGGAGGCAGAGGCAGGCTGGTCTCTGACTTTGAGACCAAGCCTGGTTTACAGAGCTATACAGGGAAACCCTGTCTTGAAAACACATGTGGGAGGGGGTCAAAGTTATCCCTGAATTAAAATTAAATTTTGTTCATATCTTATGCTTTCAACAGTTTTATGAAGCTTTCTATGTCTGGTTTTTCTTAGTATTTATATTTATTTCTATTATTATTATATATATAATATATTATTATATATTATTATTATTCTATATAGTCTGTTAGTTCATCCATTTTTGTTTGTTTGTTTTAATTCCAAGTACTTAGAGTAGAACCTTATTAGTTAAGTTCAATGAAAATTCAATGAAATGCAATTGAATTTTCTTTGTATGCTTCCTCAGGACACAAAAATGGTTTTCTGTTCATTAGTAGGCAATGATTTAAAAAAAAAAAAATGTCTTGTAAAAATCCTGAAGATGTTCACCTAATTCCTTTCTACAGGGAAGTGTACCACACAAAACGAATGCAGCACGTCATATGTGTCAAGTGGACCTCCGACAGCAAGTACATCATGTGTGGATCAGATGAAATGAACATCCGCCTGTGGAAGGCCAACGCTTCGGAAAAGCTGGGTGTGGTAAGGCCCGTTTTCCTTTGATGGCCACAAGACCAGGGTTCAGTTTTAGTGGCTATCATTGTAAAAGCTTCTTGAGGTACTTATAATTAATCAGATGAACACCAGTGTGATGGGAAGTTAAGCAGCAAACAGACAAATTACTGATACTGTTTTCATGCGAGGCCGGGGCGATGGCTTGTTTGGAGGGCCTGAGTTTTATCCCCAGAGCACACTTTTGTCTTTTTTTAAAGCCAGACATAGCAACAGGCCAGTAAACTCAGTCCTGGAGGAGGCAAGAAGACCAGGGGGGCTCACTGTCTAGGCTGGCTGGCCAGCTAGTTGAATTGGCAAGTCCAGGTTCAGAGACAGACTTTGTCTCAACAAATAAGGCAGAGAGCAGTGGAGGAGGACCCCATGTGGACACCCGCCTTCACAGGCACCTGCTGGAGATGTGCACGTACACAAAGGCACTTTCAGAAGGTGGGGGTGTTGTTTTGTGGGGGTTTGTCTTTGTTTTTTGTGGGGTCTTTTTTTGTTTTGTTTTTTGTTTTTCCAAGACAGTCTTTCTCTGTGTAACCCTGGCTGTCCTGGAACTTGCTCTGTAGACCAGGCTGGCCTTGAACTCACAGAGATCCACCCGCCTCTGTCTCCTGAGTGCTAGGGTTAAAGGTGTGTCCCCGTCCCCCCACTGCTCAGTCCTCCCACTGCCCAGCGTTGGAAGTTTTATCAGTTCAGACTGGTCCTGCTTATGCGTTCCTGGCTCTTATTCGTCTTTGTTGGGGGAGAGAGAGAGAGAGAGAGAGAGAGAGAGAGAGAGAGAGAGATATGATAGAAAGAGAGATATGATAGAAAGACTAGAAATTTAGGATCTGGAGGATCACCTCTGCTCTTAGAACAGCAGTGACTGAGCACATCAAAGGCTGAAAGTCCTGAGAGACCATCTGATGTCAGAGGCCTGAAACCTAAATGTAAAGTGGCTGCCGTGAAATACAGCTACAGCTGGTCGTACGACAATGGTTGACTTGTGGTTTTATTGTTGTTTTGAAATTTTTTTTTTTTTTTTTTTTTTGGTTTTTTTTTTTTGTTTTTTTTTTTTGAGACAGGGTTTCTCTGTGTAGCTTTGCGCCTTTCCTGGAGCTCACTTGGTAGCCCAGGCTGGCCTCGAACTCACAGAGATCCGCCTGGCTCTGCCTCCCGAGTGCTGGGATTAAAGGCGTGCGCCACCAACGCCCGGCATTGTTATGACATTTCTAACGTTCCACTTTCTGTGTGGAACGTGCAGCACGTTTATGTGAAAGGAGTGCTTCCTAGATTTTTATACTCAAAAAACTAAGGAATTCAAGATACCAAATGCACTTTGTTTTCAGCTTTCATCACGAGAAAAAGCAGCGAATGATTATAACCAGAAGTTAAAGGAAAAGTTCCAGTATCATCCGCAAGTAAAACGAATTGCTCGCCATCGCCATCTCCCGAAACCCATCTACAGCCAGATTCAGGAGCAGCGCGTCATGAAGGAGGCTCGTCGCCGCAAGTACGTGTAGAACATTTGACCCTCACCTCAGTGCTTCCAGTGCCTCCCTCTCTATCTTCACAGAACCAAATGGAAGCTTTCTTATAGAGTGGTCTGTGTACTAACGTATGGCACAGGCCTCTATCAGCTGCTCTCGCTCAGCTTTCCTCCTCTCTTACCAAAAGGGGGGACTATCATCTAAGAATATGAGAATCCCCATTGTTTACTTTTGAGAATATGTTTAAAGGGCAGATGAAAAAATAAGAAAACTCTTCTCAGTTGGGAATAGTGCAGTTGTTGAGTAAGAACCTGGGGCGTGAGACTCTGGCTCAGTTACCAGCGTGGATGAGAGGAAGGGAGGAGCAGAGGAAGAACTCACATTTTAAACTATCCAAGTGCTGTTGAAGTTGGTTTGTCGTGCTTGTGGCGGTGGGTGTTGTAATATGGGAACAACACAGAACATTAGCCGAGCTCCTGTTCGAGGATGGTGCGCAAATTCATGAAATGTCCAGCCAGACAAGTTCTCTCTTGCGTGTGTGGGGTCTGTGCGTGTGTGAGTGAATGTGCACATGTCTGTGAGTATGCGGCCAGAGGCCCGAGGCAGGTGTCCCACCATATCGCCATCATCTGACCGCCTTAGAACAGTGAGCTCCGGGGAGCCTCCTGTCTCTGCCTCTCCAGTACTAAAATTACAGACACAAGATGCTTTTAAAAATCAGTCCTAATGGAGCTGTCATTACAAAACTTTGTCTTTTTTTTGTAAATGAACTCAAATACCTATAATCCCAGTACTTGGGATCATGAGTTCAAAGCCTGGACTGCAAAGAATTTTAAAATTTTTTAAAAATTCATATTTAGCAATCACTTCTTTAAAACATTCTCATATGTTTTATCATAACATCCGAGATCTAATGTCTTGTTTCTTGAGGTAAGGAACTCACTGTGATTCCTAAAGTGTCTTCAGCTCCTGGGCTCAGGTGGTCCAAAGCAGAACTTCCCCAGCCACCCGTCCTGCTGTGGAATACACTCTTTGAGCCTGTAGATTAATGCAGTGTTGGAGTTCTTAGAGCCTTGGGGTTTGTTTTTTATTCAACTGTATAGGTTACTGTTATTCTGCTCTGTGGATACTTGTTGGGATTTAATCATATTTATGTCTCACTAACTGCTACATTTTTAAACTTCGTAAAGGATGCTGGGTTTTTTGTTTTTGTTTTTGTTTTGTTGTTTTGGAAACAGTCTCACAGTGTGGTGGCCTGGCTGTCCTGGAACTCACTCTGTAGACCAGGCTGGCCTTATACTCAGAGATCTGCCTGCCTCTGTCTCCTGAGTGCTGGGATTAAAATCATGTGTCACCACACCTGGTTTAAAAGCCTGTAGTACCATGTATTCCCAGGTGGTTTCCCATCCAAGTACTTGCTTAGCTTCCAAGATGAGACAAGATCGGGTGCATTCAAGGTGGTATGGCCTTAGACACTGGTCATTCATAAAATACAAAGCAACTGAATAACAAAAGTTGAATTGATCTTTTTACCTTATTCTCATTGAGAAATTCTTTTTTCCAGTCGATTTTCTAGTGAAAGAAAACACTTTATGATTTAATTTTTTTTCCGTTGGCTGAGATGATTTCTTATGTGCTTGCTCATATTTTATGTATTTTGTTTATTTCTAGGGAAATGAATCGTCGTAAACATAGCAAGCCTGGATCTGTGCCAGTTGTGTCAGAGAGGAAGAAACACGTAGTGGCAGTTGTGAAATAATGTTTTGTCTTCCTACCGAGCTTGATCTATAATTATTTGCTACTTCTGATTTGGAAACTCTGTAAATAAAAGTCCTGGCTCTGGTTTAGTAGTAAACACTGCAGTCGTGTGTTTTTCTCTCCCTTCCACTGCCTGATTCCGCTTCCTCTGCGTCCGCACTCATGTTTAGGCTGATGTAAGGACTGCTGTACCCCACAGTCATCTGTCAGTTCACTGTGTAGAAGCCACTGTGGTGTGTGCCCGGTGTCCTGTCAGAGCATCGGGAGCTCCAGTGATGAAGAGAAGTGACACCTGCTGAGTCACTGGCACTACCTCCTGCCACCACCTGGTTTCCATGGTGATCGTTCAGTGTCCCACACTTTACAGAGCCTGACTAGTCAGAGACGTGAGCAATTTCCTGTAATTGGAGCCTAGACTGATCCAGACATAGCATGTTTCTGACCACTTTGAAATGTCACTTTGGGGGTTCGCAGTCTCTTGCTTTTCACAAGTGAGGTTGTCAGGGTAGAACTCAAAGGAAGTGAGGATGGTGGTGATGAGAACCTGTAAGAGCCAGAAGAACGTAAGTAAGTAAGCACAGAGGAGCCCCCGGAAAGAAAAGGTGTGTATCAAATGCCTTGTTATTCAGTCTTGCCACCTGGCCACTGTGACCTTTTTGATGGAAACAAAGCAGGTTGCTCTTGAGCTTGTTTATAACTCCCTTTGTCTTACTGTGTCATGGGCAAGAAAGGCTAAGGTAACCAGATGTCTAGAGAGCAGTCCTGTCCTGGTCAGCTTGGGTCTTTCGAGTAGTGAATTCAAAATGAATTGCAGCCCAGGGAACACTGTTGATTCATTCACAGGAGACCTTAAGGGCACATATAAAGTACTAAGGTATTTGATGGCAGGGACTTTGAAGCATGATGAATCGGTGTCTGCTAGTATTTGGGTATTATGAGTGGATGGGTTATTTATTGAATGAATAATCTTGGATTTTATCAACCTGTGTTGATCCCTAGCAGGCAGGGGCTCACTGTGCACATGCTGTTGTACCCCCAACCCTGTGTGTGTGTGTGCGCACATGCATGCACTCCCACACGTGAGCCTTTTAAGTCAAGGGCAGGAACAGCTCTGCCTGATTTTCTTCATAGCACTTAATCCAGTGTCAGGAAATGAACTCGTTCTTTTGCTCCAAACCCTCAGTGTCATCTCTTGCATTCTGTTTGAATAGCATGCCTACCACCTACAGAGATTCTCAGGAAAAAGTTCTCTCTAAGACACAGGCTTTATTAATAATTGTAACATAGTAGCTGCTGCCCTGCTGTTTACTAAACAGTGTGTCTTGCATGCACTTAATCGAAATTAATTTTCCTTGAATTCTCATAAGAACTCCCAAAGGGAGGAGGCCTTACTACAATTTGTGATCTGTACTCAATCTACATAATCTGAAGGGGTCAGTCTCGAAGGGAATAGGTTATTGCAGAGCATTATGATGTCTCAGTAGGATAATACAGTAGCACAATGGGAAAGGCTGCCTGCTGGAGAAGGCTAGACCTCCAGAGAAGAGCAGTGTTTCTCGATGCCGGCCCATTCTGGCCTGTTGTCAGGAGGAGTAGAAGTGGAAGAGGGATGTTTTGGAAGTCAACTCAAGACCTCTCCATGTGCTATTGTTCATTAAGGAAAGGAAGACACGTTCTGTTCCAGGTCTATGTGTAAAGCTAGGGTGAATATTCTTGCTTCGAGAGAGAAGGGGGTTGGAGGGTAAGTGATTTGTTAGGTAGTAGAGAGGAATGGATCACAAAGCTCAACTTACACATCCAGGAGCCTAGAGCAGAGGGTGGACAGCACACGTGGTGTGGTCAAAAGTGTGTGTATACACATACTCATCCTTTGCAAAGGAGCAGAGAAGCCCAGCCGCGGAAAGAGGGAGGGAGCCATGCCTTTGGAGCGCTATCCCATAGTGCACACCGCTAGAGGAGAAAATCAGTTGCAGGGCCAGCTTTCAGAGTAAGCTGGAGACGTGGCGGCTCAGTTGGTAGAATTTGGCCTGCATATAGGAGGCCCTAAGTTGATCCCCACCACATAAACTAAGTGTGATGGTGCATGCCTGGAATTCCAGGTGGTACAGGATAATCAGAAACTTGATGGAAGATGGGTATGGTGGCACATACTTCACCTATCAGCTCGCTTGCTGGAGGGAAGCTGAGGTAAGAGAATCAGGTGATTAAGGACAATTAGTGAGTCTCTCACATACACACAGAGAGAGGGACTGGAATAAAACATCTATGACAACATAAAGATAAAACAATTTCTAGTTAATACACGGGGATCATTTTGTTTCCATGAGTATTTGCCACAAGGCAGTTGAAGTCTGGGGAGGAGTGGCAGAATCCTGGGGACAGGTTTTCCATACACTGGAGCAGATGTCCCCGACTGAGCTGAGTCCTGCACAGCCTGGGATCTCCATACACTGACTTCTGGCCTTTTGTAAGTTCAGCTCTCCATGTCTCAAGGCTCTCTAGCTGGCTCCCATTTCAGTGCTTACGGAAGGAACTGCTATTTGGAATTGGGTCCTTAAAGCAGAACAGCCTCAATAGCCAGCTAAGATGTCTGGTTTTGGCCACTGGCTTAGTGTGAACTAGAAGTGGGGACCTTGAGAAAAGCTGGCTATACCTGGGTAAACAAGCCCAGTACATTTTTTTTTTTTTTTTTTTTTTT